TAAAGGCCTCAAGACATGGATTTTTTAAAGAATTTTTGAGGTAACCTAAAGGCCTGAAGACGTGGATTTTTTAAAGAATTTTTGGAGGTAACATAAAGACGTGGATTTTTTAAAGAATTTTTGGAGGCAAACTAAAGGCCTCAAGACGTGGATTTTTTTTGAAGAATTTTTTGAGGTAGCCTAAATGCTCAAGACGGGGATTTTTTAAAGAATTTTTGGAGATAACCTAAAGACGTGGATTTTTAAAGAATTTTTGGAGGTAGCCTAAAGGCTCAAGACGGCGATTTTTTAAAGAATTTTTGGAGGTAACCTAAAGACGTGGATTTTTAAAGAATTTTTGGAGGTAGCCTAAAGGCTCAAGACGGGGATTTTTCAAAGAATTTTTTAAGGTAACCTAAAGGCCTCAAGACGTCGATTTAAAAAAAAAAAAATGGAGGTAACCTAACGTCTTCAAGACGTGGATTTTTTAAAGAATTTTTGGAGGTAACTTTAAATCCTCAAGACTTGGATTTTTTAGTTTTTTTTTTTTTTTAACGTAACTTAAAGACCTCAAGGCGTGGATTTTTTAAAGATTTTTGGAGGTAACCTAAGGGCATGAAGACTTGGATTTTTAGGGATTTTTTTAAACGTAACCTTAAGGCTTTAAGACGTGGATTTTTAAAAGAATTTTTGGTGGTAACCTAAATGCCCCAAGACGTGGATTTTTTAAAGAATTTTTTGAGGTAACCTAAAGGCCTTAAGACGTGGATTTTTTAAAGAATTTTTGGAGGCAACCTAGAGGCCTCAAGACATGGATTTTTTAAAGAATTTTTTGAGGTAACCTAAAGGCCTCAAGACGTGGATTTTTTAAAGATTTTTTTGAGGTAACCTAAAGGCCTCAAAACGTGGATTTTTTAAAGAATTTTTTGAGGTAACCTAAAGGCCTCAAAACGTGGATTTTTTAAAGAATTTTTTGAGGTAACCTAAAGGCCTCTAGACGTGGATTTTTTAAAGAATTTTTAGAGGTACCCTAAAGGCCTTAGGACGTTGTTTTTTTTTAAATTTTTTGGAGGTAACCTAAAGGCCTCAAGATGTGGATTTTTTAAAGAATTTTTGGAGGTAACCAAAATACCTCAAGACGTGGATTTTTTAAAGAATTTTTGGAGGTAACCTAAAGGCTTTAAGACGTGATTTTTTTGTAATAATTTTTGGGTTCACGACTTGGATTTTTTAAAGAATTTTTGGAGTCTACTTAGAAGCCTTATAACGTTAATTTTTTAAAGAATTTTTGGAGGCTACTTAGAGGCTTTATAACGTTAATTTTTTAAAGAATTTTTGGAGGTAACCTAAAGGCCATAAGACGTGAATATTTAAAAAAAAAAATTTGGAGGCTTCTTAGTGGCCTTATACCGTTAATTTTTTAAAGAATCTTTGGAGGTAACCTAAAGGCCTTAAACGTAAATTTTTTAAAGAATTTTTGGAGGTAACCTAAAGGCCTCTAGACGTGGATTTTTTAAAGAATTTTTGAAGGCTATTTAAAGGCCTTAAGACGTGGATTTTTAAAGAATTTTTGGAGGTAACCTAAAGGCCTCTAGACGTGGATTTTTTAAAGAATTTTTGGAGGTAACCTAAAGGCCTCTAGACGTGGATTTTTTAAAGAATTTTTGGAGGCTATTTAAAAGCCTTAAAATGAGGATTTTTTAAAGAATTTTTGAAGGCTATTTAAAGGCCTTAAGACGTGGATTTTTTAAAAGAATTTTTGAAGGCTATTTAAAGGCCTTAAGACGTGGATTTTTTAAAAGAATTTTTGAAGGCTATTTAAAGGCCTTAAAACGAGGATTTTTTAAGGAATTTTCTAATACTTCATAAAGGCCTTTTGTTCTTAAAATTATCGCCCACTGTCCCTTATTTACACTGACATACACACACACAAATCCTTTTTTTCGCCCCGCTTTGATTTTCATCAGCTATCAGCAGCTGATGTTAGTTGCAAAAGAATGAAAAGCTTAAATACAAATACAAAAAGATTCATATTTTTTCGATGAGTGCTAAGAGGGAAGGGGGGAGGGGATGGAACAAGCGATTTGCAAGGGATTGAATGGGTATCACAGTGTGTGTGTGTGTGTGTATGAGCAAGTCTATGTGCTGAGGACATAAGCAGGATTATTAGGCATTAACTTAACTACATTTGAAGTATTTGTTTAAACTCGTTAAGTTGTTAGCAGTCAGCCAACCAGCCAGCCAGTCATCGAGCTAACCGACCATCCCGCCACTCAGTTAGTTATTCAGCACGAAAAAATATGGCAAAAACAACAGCAACAAAAAAGGGCCAGTATTTACAATAAAAGGCCATAAAACGAAAGTGAGCAAAAAAACCTCCGAACGGCAACAAAAAGAACAAAGACAACTATTTATAAGTACCACGATAACAATGACAATAACAATAATGAGGGAGGAGAAAGGATAAGAGGAGAGGGGGGGGGGGGAGTCTGGGACTGAGAGGCCAAAGAATTTTTACCAAGATTTATGATGGCATTTTGTTAAGCCTCACTTGGCCAAAATAGAAAAACACAATGAGAGTGGCCATAATAGGTGGAATGATTGAAGTGTTTGTTCTCTGGGAAGCGGATCCAAAAGAAGTGGAAAGCGGAGAAAAAAACAATGAAATTAATTTGGGTATTTAAGCAAAGCTAAAAGACAAATATCATAATGATTGGGACAATTGAGGAATGATTTGATGTTCCAAGTCATTAATTAGAGGAGCTAAAAAAATAAAGAGTGAGATAGAGGAGAAAGGGAATCGAGATAAAATAAAATGAGAAATATACAGGGGTTCCCTTTTTAGGGACATATGAAATAATTTTAGAAGAGTTGAAAACGTGGATTTTTCTAAGAATTTTTGGAGGTACCCCAAAGACCTTACAACGTGGATTTTTCAAATAATTTTTGGAGGTACCCCAAAGACCTTACAACGTGGATTTTTCAAAGAAATTTTGGAGACTATTTAAGGGCACTACAACGTGGGTTTTTGAAAGAATTTTTGAGGTATCCTTGAGCCCCTACAACGTGGATTTTTTTAAGAATTTTTGGAGACTATTTAAAGGCCTTACAACGCGGATTTTTTAAAGTATTTTTGGAGACTATTTAAAGGCCTTACAACGCGGATTTTTTAAAGAATTTTTGGAGGTACCCCAAAGGCTTTACAACGTGGATTTTTTAAAGAATTTTTGGTGGTACCCCAAAGGCTTTACAACGTGGATTTTTTTAAAGAATTTTTGGAGGTACCCCAAAGGCTTTACAACGTGGATTTTTTAAAGAATTTTTGGAGGTACCTCAAAGGCTTTACAACGTGGATTTTTTAAAGAATTTTTGGAGGTACCCCAAAGGCTTTACAACGTGGATTTTTTAAAGAATTTTTGGAGGTACCCCAAAGGCTTTACAACGTGGATTTTTTAAAGAATTTTTGGAGGTACCCCAAAGGCTTTACAACGTGGATTTTTTAAAGAATTTTTGGAGGTACCCCAAAGGCTTTACAACGTGGATATTTTAAAGAATTTTTGGAGACTATTTAAAGGTCTCCAAACGTGGATATTTTAAAGAATTTTTGGAGACTATTTATAGGCCTTACAGCGTGGATTTTTCAAAGAATTTTTGGAGACTATTTATAGGCCTTACAGCGTGGATTTTTTAAGGAATTTTTGGAGAGCATTTAACGACCTTCAAACGTGGATTTTTTAAGGAATTTTTGGAGACTATTTAAAGAATTTAGAACGTGGATTTTTTAAAGAATTTTTGGAGACTATTTAAAGGCCTTACAATGTGGATTTTTAACGAATTTTTGAAGGCCTCCTTAGGTCTTGCAACGTGGAATTTTTAAAGAATTTTTGAAGGCCTACTTAGGCCTTGCGACGTGGATTTGTTTAAAGATTTTTTTAAAGCCTCCTAAGGTCTTGCAACGTGGATTTTTTATAAAAATTTTGAATACTATTTAAAGGCCTTACAACGTGGATTTTTTAAAGAATTGTTGAAGACCTCCTAAGCGCCTTACAACGTGGATTTTTTAAAGAATTTTTGAAGACCTCCTAAAGGCCTTACAATGTGGATTTTTTAAAGAATTTTTGAAGGCCTTCAAACGTGAATTTTTAAAGAATTTTTGAAGGTACCCTACAAGATTTTTGAACGTGGATTTTTTAAAGAATTTTTGAAGACCTCCTAAAGCCCTTACAACGTTGTTTTTTAGAGAATTTTTGAAGACCCCCTAAAGCCCTTACAACGTGGATTTTTTAAAGAATTTTTGAAGGCCTCCTAAAGCCCTTACAACTTCAATTTCTTAAAGAATTTTTGAAGACCTCCTTAGGTCTTGCAACGTGGATTTTTAAAAAAAAAAATTTGAAAGCCTCTTAATGACCTTACAACGTGGATTTTTTAAAGAATTTTTGAAGACCTCCTAAAGCCTTTACAACGTGGATTTTTAAAGAATTTTTGAAGACCTCCTAAAGCCCTTACAACGTGGATTTTTTAAAGAATTTTTGAAGACCTCCTAAAGCCCTTACAACGTGGATTTTTTAAAGAATTTTTGAAGACCTCCTAAAGCCCTTACAACGTGGACTTTTTAAAGAATTTTTGAAGACCTCCTAAAGCCCTTACAACGTGAATTTTTTAAAGAATTTTTGAAGACCTCCTAAAGCCCTTACAACGTGGATTTTTTAAAGAATTTTTGAAGACCCCCTAAAGCTTTTACAACGTGGATTTTTTAAAGAATTTTTGAAGACCTCCTAAAGCCCTTACAACGTGGATTTTTAAAGAATTTTTGAAGACCTCCTAAAGCCCTTACAACGTGGATTTTTAAAGAATTTTTGAAGGCCTCCTAAAGCCCTTACAACGTGGATTTTTTAAAAATTTTTTGAAGGCCTCCTAAAGCCCTTACAACGTGGATTTTTTAAAGAATATTTGCTGAAGCCTTTACCTTAAAATCTTAAAAATAAGTTTATATAATTCTCATTAAAAATGCCCATACATACCTCCAGACCCTCCGCTTCCAAGACTGCCGCCTCCCCCGCTATTTGTCATCGATTTATTTGAGTCCATTTGATTCGGTTTGGCTACCACATCCATATTCTGCCTTATTTTTTTCCAAGATTTTGTTATGACTTCCAGCCGTTATGCCTTTCTGCTACAGGCTGTTGTCCTCTGTTTCTTCTTCTCCTCCTCTCCGTCTGCTTGGCTTTTGTTAATTTAAACGGTTATTGTAACGGCTTTTTTTGTGTTATTATTTAATTAAAATTAATCCGCTCGGCTTTTCAGAACTTCTTTTGTCTGTCTGTGTGTGTGTGTGTGGTTGGGATTATTTTTGATGGCAATCACAATAGCAGCAGCAGCAGCGGCAGCAACAACAATGGAATAAAAGAAAATCCAACATCACCACCAACACAATGCCATTTAACGGTAATGTTAATTTAATCCTTTGTTTATTAGTCGAGAGTATTTAAAAACAACAACAAAAACCAACAGAAAAAGTTTCCAAACACTTTTTTTTAATGCGCCTTAAATACTTTTAACAACTTTTCACTTTTGTTTGGGGGTTTCCGCAAAAGTTCCGCCACTCGCCGAACTTGCTTGGCTAAGTAGTTTTCATGAGGGGGTTCAACACCTTTTTTTAGAAAAGAATTGAAAAATATTTTTACTTTTCTTTTTTATTTCACGGCTTATCATTTATCTTTCACCTTTTGCGCTTTCTCTTTCACACTTTCCTTCTGTCTCGTTTTAACACTTTTTTTGCACTTTATTGTTTAATAATTGTTTGTTCATACGTTTTTCCAGCTTTGAACAAATTTTCCTATTTTTTTGCGTATTTTTGGAAAATTCCAATCCACCTGACACGATTATTTTCAATTTGTAACTGCCATTGTTCGAATGCCAAAGGGGCGTTGGGAGGATACTCTGGAATCATGGGTGGAATAAAAATAAATAGAAGCATATAAACGACGACAACAACAATGGCAAACAACATCTGTACGATTAGCATGCTAACTAGCTGGCGTTGTTATTCAATATTCGCATTCCGAGGGACATTATTCATCGCTTAGCATTTTATTGACCCAAATTGGAATTCCATGGAGGAAGAGTGAAAAATAGAGTTTTTTTTTTGTCATGGAATGGAATTTCAATTTTTTAAATGGGTAGAGGAGCAAATTTTAAAACCAATTGGAAAAAAAGCTTGAAAATTTATAGAATATCTACAAAATATATTCAGGACCCCCGAGATATGTCTCAAAGAGGACTCTCGGAGAGTATTTGAAACAATTTGAAGAAAATGGGAAATTTATTGAAAATCTGCAAAATGTATACAGGATCTCAGGGAGAACACCCAGGATCTCAGGGAGGACTTCAAAATGTATACAGGATCTCAGGGAGAACACCCATAGATGACTCTCAGAGAGAACTATTGAAGATGCCACTCCCGAGACCTTTTGCCATGGAGGAATGGAAAGAGCATCTAGAACTCTGTTTGGCTTAGAAAGCCTTATAGACGAAAAAGGCCAGTGTTCAGTCTTCCAGAGACCTTGTATACAAAGAAGACGTCTGGATCCTTCGAGGACATAGACGATCTCTACAGACCTTTAAGAAGGTCATCTAAATAGCTGAAGGTCTTCTGTATAAGGAGGAGGTCTTCGGAGAAAAACCTCAGAGAGAACTCTCGTAGCGGGATCATAGAGAAAATTCTCAGATATGCGTCCCCTGAGATCTTTTGAAGATCTTAAGTAGGGAAATGCCATCTAGAGCTTTGTTGGACTTCGCTGGCCTTTTAGTTGAAGAAGGTCAGTAACCAATCTTGCAGAGACCTTCTAAACAACTCTCTGGTGCCTGAAGACTTTCAGGAGGCCTCCTGAGTTTCTTGTTGGTATGGGAAGATCTTCGTAGAGAGACCAAGTGAGAGGAGAAGGAATTGAAAATTAAAAAAAGAGAAAAATAATAGTTTTCCGTTGGGAAAACCATTTTAGTCCGACTGAACTGAAATTTTCTTTTGAGCCAGGTCTTCTGTAAAGACTCCCTGGCCTATGGGAGGCTACCTGCAAGTGTTCTATATGAAGTCCTCCACGTCTTCATTTATGAGAAGATCTCAAGATCATCTCCTATGATAAGGGATCCAGGCCTTTAGGAGAAGAACTTTAGATTTTCTTTGAGAAAACCTATGAGAAGACTTCCAGGTCGTTTATGTGAAGACCTCTACACTATCTTCTATCAGAAGACCTCGAAGTATTTTTTCTCTGAAATTACCTACATATCTCCTTCTCCTTTAGGGCTTCTTTGAGAAGCTTCTAAGACAAGTTTTTTTATAAAAACATCTCCAAATTGCCTTCTATGAAAAGAGCTCTAGGTTTTCTTCTGGTCTAGGACAAGATCTCTAAATTTGTTTTGGAAAACCTTCAAATATACTAGGAGAAGACTTCCAGGTCGTCTATGAAAAGACCTCCAAATTATCTTCTCTAAAAAGACCTTCAAGTATTTTTTTCTCTGAGAAGACGCATATGTCTCCTTTTCCTGCAGCCCGACTGAACAGAAATCTCCTTTTGAGTCAGGTCTTCTTTGAAGACTCCCTGACTATGGGAGGCTACCTACATGTGTTCTATATCAAGTCTTCCAGATCTTCATTTATGAGAAGATCTCAAGGTCTTCTTCTATGATAAGGGCTCCAGGTCTGCTAGGTGAAGATCTCTAGATTTTCGTTGAGAAAACCTTTAGATCTTCTAAGAGAAGACCTCCAGGTCGTCTATGAGGAGACCTTTACATTATCTTCTATAAGAAGACCTCGAAGTATTTTTTTTAAATACCTACATATCTGCTTCATGTCTTCTATGAGAAGCTTCTAAGAGAAAATGTCCATGAACGCATCTCCAGATTGCCTTCTATGAAAATATCTCTTTAATAGGTAAACCTCCAGGTCTTTTGTTTTTTAAAAACACCTCCAGGACTTCTAGGAGACGTTCTCTAGACTTTCAGGTCGCGTATGAGAATACCTCCACATTATCTTCTCAAAGAAGACCTCCAATTACGTTTTTTTCACTGAGAATACATTTATGTCTTCTTCTCCTGCTGGACTTCTATGAGTAGCTTCTAAGAGAAATTTTCCATAAAAATATCTCCAGATTGTCTTCTCTGAGAAGATTTCCAGATCTTCTAGCAGAAGATCTCTAGATTTTCTAAGAGTAGTCTTCAAGGACGTCTATGAAAATACCTCCGCATTATCTTCTCTAAAGAGACCTTCAAGTATTTTTCTTTCTCTATGAAGACCTATATGTCTTCTACTTCTGCAGAGCTTCAAAGAGAAGTTTTCCATAAAAAATAACTCCAGATTGCCTTCTATGAGAAGATCTCCAGGTCTTCTAGGATAAGACTTTCAGGTCGTCTACGAGAAGATCTCCACATTACCTTCTCTAATAAGACCTCCGAGTATTTTTTTTCTATATGGGAAGCTTCTAAAAGAAGTCTTCAGAGCTTCAAAGAGAAGCTTTCCATAAAAAATATCTCCAGATTGCCTTCTATGAGAAGATCTCCAGAAGACTTTAAGGTCGTCTACGAGAAGATCTCCATATTACCTACTCTAATAAGACCTCTAAGTATTTTTTCCCCTATGGGAAGCTTCTAAAAGAAGTCCTCCATAAGAAGATCTCCAGACTTTCTTCTATGAGAAGATCTCCAGACTTTATTCTATGAGTAGATCTCCAGGTCTTCTAGGAAAAATTCTCTCTCGATTTCCTAAAGGAAAACTTTCAGGTCGTCTACGAGAAGATCTCCATATTATCTTCTCTAATAAGTCCTCCAAATATTTGTTTCTCTGAAAAGACTTTTGAATCTTCTTCTCCAGCAGGACTTCTTTGGGAAGCTTCTAAAAAAAGTCTTCCATAAGAAGATCTCCAGACTTTCTTCTATGAGTAGATCTCCAGGTCTTCTAGGAGAAGATATTTGGATTTCCTAAAGGAAGACTTTCAGGTGATCTATGAGAAGATCTCCACACTATCTTCTCTAATAAAACCTCTAAATATTTTTCTCTCTGAAAAGACTTTTGAATCTTCTGCTCCTGCAGGACTTCTATGGGAAGCTTCTAAAAGAAGTTTCCATAAGAAGATCTCCAGACTTTCTTCTATGAGTAGATCTCCAGGTCTTCTAGGAAAAATTCTCTCTCGATTTCCTAAAGGAAGACTTTCAGGTCGTCTATGAGAAGATCTCTACATTATCTTCTCTAATAAGACCTCCAAGTATTTTTTCTCTGAAAAGACTTTTGAATCTTCTTCTCCTGCAGGACTTCTATGGGAAGCTTCTAAAAGAAGTCTTCCATAAGAAGATCTCCAGATTTTCTGCTATGAGTAGATCTCCAGGTCTTCTAGGAGAAGATCTCTCGATTTCCTAAGGGAAGACTTTCAGGTCGTCTATGAGAAGATCTCCACATTACCTTCTCTAATAAGACCTCCAAGTAATTTTTCTTTTCTTTTTCTCCTGCAGTACTTCTATGGGAAGCTTCTAAAAAGTCTTCCATAAGAAGATCTCCAGACTTTCTTCTATGAGTAGATTTCCAGGTCTTCTAGGAAAAGATCTCTCGATTTCCCACTTTATCTTCTCTAAATATTTTTCTCTGAGAAGCCTTTAATTTCTTCTCGAAAGGCCTCTATATCTTGTTGTATGAAAATAGCTGCCGGTCTTCTATGAAAGGACCCTCCAGGTCTTCTATGAGAATGTCTTCTCGGAAGGCCTTCATGTCTTCTTGTATGAAAATACCTACCGGTCTTCTTTTACAATCTACGATAATATTTCCAGATTTTCTTAGAGAAACCCTAAATTTTGTCTGTGAGAAGACCTCCGGCTCCTCTATGAGAAGACCTTCAAGTTTTCTTTATGAGAAGTCCTCCTTGCCTTCTAAAAAGTCTTCGAGGTTTTTTTTTTAAGATAATAGCTGTAGGTCTTCAGTAAGAAGACTTCTTAGTCTCCAGGCTCTCACTGGTTTTCTGTGAAATAATTCCCCCAGGACCATTTTTTAAAAAAAAACCTTTATCAGGTTTTCTGGACATTGAAGATCTCCAGATTTCGATTTCTCCATGAGAGGCTTTCCTCCTGGGAGACTTCCCGAGGAATCCTAGATGCCTTTTTACAGGCATTGTATGAGAAGATTACAACTTGGCGTATGTTTTATAATTTTTGGATATAATACATACGCCCTGGTGCGCCCATCACAGATTCAATTTATATTCACCCTCTCCCCCTAAGAAAATCTGATACTTTGCAGGGTGTTATAAAGATTTTAAATATCAATTTTTAATAAATGTCAAACTTTTTCCAACATTTATGTAAATTGCCAAAAGTGGAAGAAAAAAAACCTCTACCCCTAAATACTGCTTTAATTTTCAATTTCAGAAAAAAACTCCTTCCCGTCTCTTCAACCACTTGACAAGGCAAGGTGGGACGCCGAACGAAAAAGAGAAGAGGAGAATACAAATTAATTGAAATTCAATTAAATTCGGCATTTGTTGGAGAAGCGAACGGTTTTGCTGTTGACACATACCCACTTGCACACAACGACAGCGACAACAACAGAAGTAGCCAACACTCCGCCTCCCTCTCCCCACTCCCCACTCTCACACCTGCACTGAGGTAATGCAATTGAGATTCAGGGTGCTCTTCTCTGCTGGCAAAAAAAGAAAAAACGAAAACAAAATGATTTGGGTCAGTGAACCATGTCAAAAATGTGTAGCAATTCTACCTCTCGTTTTCTCGCTCTTCGTGACCACAAACCCCCCTTTTATCCTCTCTGCAACACTATTTCACCATCGAATTTTTATGTGTGTGAGTGCGCCCCTTCACTTTTACTTTAATAGAGCAATCCATTTATGTTTGTCAGCAATTTTGTTTTGTTTGAATTACCCGCCCAATGTGGCATCACTTAATTT